GGATTTTTTAGGCAGATGACTGATTAGAACCATTTAAGACCTTTCCAGTTATATATTTAAAAAAAAAAAGGGGGTGGGGGGGAGCCTGGGTGGCTTAGTCGGTTGAGCGTCCGACTTTCCCTTAGGTCATGATCTCGCGGTTTGTGGGTTCGAGCCCCGCGTTGGGCTCTGTGCTGACTGCCAGCTCAGAGCCTGGAGCCTGTTTCAGAGTCTGTGACTCCCTCTCTCTCTGACCCTCCCCTGCTCACGCTGTCTCTCTCTCTCTCTCCTAGAAATAAATAAAAAATATTAAAAAGAAAAAAGACCTTTCCAGTTATAAATGCTGACCCTCATTTCCAGGCAGATATTAGAGAGATATTGGTGTTCCAAGATGGTTCCTCAAGAATTCTTCCCTAACTTATCTAGCCATCAAGTACTTTTTAAATTTTACATTCCTTCAGCACTCAAAACCCAGTTTCTGTTGCAATGTTTTTTTAATTCTTTCTTTACATATGTGTTAAGTGCTTGTAATGTGTATGAAAGGCAGTAGGACATACAGGTTAGCACCAACGCCTTGACTTCAGATGGACAATTTGTGTCTCAGCTCAGGCACATGGAGCTTTGTGACTTTGGCCAATTTGCTTAACTTCTCTAACCTTTGTTTTATACACCTGTAGAGTGAGATAATAATGAGTGTATTCCTATATACAGTATTTTTTATTATTAAAGATTAAATGAACTCAGGGACTTAAAGCTCTTAGCTCATGAGTTAAGCACTTAATCAGTGTTGGTAAGTGTTCATATTATCTATTACTACTACTATCACTATTACTACTACTACTATTACTGCTACTACTGTCTTGTACTTGGTTTATTAAAAAGGAAACCAGTAGGTGCAGATCCTATAGAATCTTCTAGCTAAAGGAGAGCATATCATATGTTAAATGACCAACCATATGAGTCTGTAAGGTCCAGGAACATGAAGCTCATAGGTGTCAGCACAGCGTAATGGTTAACATTGTAAACTCTACTGGAATCAATTTCTGTTGTTTAAATTCTGGTTCTACTATTCACCGGATGTTCACCTGGGGCTGGTTACTTATTCTTTCTGTGTCTCAGTTTCTTTAAATGTAAAATGAAATAAGAATACGTCCCTCATAGGGTCATTGAGAGGATTAACTGAAGAAATTCTTAAATGAAGAAATGAAGAAAGCATTTTTGATGGTGCCTGGCATAAAGAGTTTAATAAATGTTAGTGGTCATTACATACTTCTTTGTAACTAGCTCAAGACTTAGCATAGTGGTGTGCCACAGATATTTGTTGGTTTGCTAGAAGTAATAGTATGAATACTAGACTATGGCCCTAAAGCTATAATGTCATTAATTTATAATTGAAGTAGAAGGAATCATTGTGGGCTACAGAAGTAAAATGGGTTCTCCTGCAGATACCCAATTTCTTCCATGTTTCTCTCACTAAAAAAGAGAGAAAGAAAAAAAAAAAAAAACAACCCTGATAGTTTAAGGAGAAGAAAGAGTACATATGAATAGCAGCTATGAAGCAGCACATAAGGTAATATGATAAATGAAATGTAACCCATATATATTGGATATCCTGGCCTCTAGGAGAGTAGGTTAAACTTTACCTAAACCCCCAACTTCTTGACTTCTCTAAGTCCAGTGATGGTCACGAAGCTTCTGGAACCCCAAATACAGTTATTCAGTGTTCTTCAAACCGTATCTGTTGTCTTATGACATGTTCATCACCATTCCATGGGGAAACAAAAGGATGGGGGTTTTCCACGGGTAAGTAGGTTTAGGAAATATTAATAAACAAAGTTTAACAGGTTTATCTGAAGGGTTTTTTTATATACACAACATGTCCCCTAAAGTACTTGACCATGGAACTCTTTTCTCAAAGAAAACCTATCAATACCTTTTATTGTACAAAAGGAAGGTTGGGGGTTTGTTGCTTTAATTGGAAGGGAAAAGTTTATTGGCAAAATATTCACAAATTTGAAAAAAGGAAGAATGAATGTTTTGAATAGCCATGAAATGCCAGAAACTTAACCAGTAATATAATCCTTATATTTTATCACCAAGATTTTATGGATGAAGATTTTAAAACTCAAAAATTAAAACTAAGCACATAGCTAGTAAGTGAAGGAGATAGCGGCTTCTCTTAAAGTACTTCATAAACACCTCGAATTACAAACTGGGAGATAGGAAGCCTGGCAAGTGAAAGAGAAAGATTACTCCAGGGTATGCACACACAACTTTCAGTTTTTCTTTTCGTCATTTTACCCCCAAAAGACATTAACTGAAGTGCACGGACAGTAAGACAGAAAAAAAATTGTGATACTAATACAGGAAGTACAGAGCAAACAAAATTGCTCTAAGAAAAAGCACCAGATGCGACATAAAATATTACTATGTTCTTTTCACATTTTAGAAGCAAAATTCCTTCAACTGCCACTGAAAAATTTTCATAGCAGATCTGGTGAGGTACATGAATAGTGAGTCTATATTTCAATAGTCCTGATGTCTTTTGAATATGGAACCAGTTTTATATTAAGACAAATATATTTTTTAAATTACATGCATTAAGAAATGTTTTGGATTCTGTAATCCACACTGAACATTTTTTCCATATTATCCCCATATATATACTTAATACATATGGGTAATTAGTACTGTTGTTCACTGAATATCTTTATGCCACCAGATGTAACCCATTAAGTTATTTTTATAAATTGGATATAGTTTGCTTATTGGATCAAAGGGAGTAACACAGATGAACAGTTCCCTGAGAGACCACTATACAATCTCTTTGAATTAAGAACACTCCAAAGAATTTTAATGACCCTGTTCTAGAGATTTCCTCCCCTCAGAAAGCCTAAAAGCTCAAAGATGTAGGTCGAGGAGCAATAAAAATTGCTGGGTTCTGGCCAGTGGACCACTTTTGCAGTACTGAGGGACACTGGGGTCAGATATATTATTTCTCATAAGGAGCACTAATACTGTAATTTGTGACATAAAGGAAGGTCATCTCTCTGAATTCGTGATTATTACCTATTGCTTGGAGGATTTCTCCAGAAAGGTGGCCTGCAAACCTTTTACTTATTGCCATCTCTTAACTTTTTAAAAATCTTTTGCCTGCTAGGTATGTTGGAGAAAATGAGAGGATGCAACCCAGCTTGTAAGGCAGAAGCTTCTATTCTCATGTTTAAGCTATATAACCTGAGGCTTATAGAGACGCAATGAATCAGGACTCCGGAGATGAGTCCAGCTCTCTTAATGCGACAACTTTGGGACTCAACATGCATAAGCTGGAAAGCAACGTGGAATTATCAGTCAGAACTGCACCTCGGAAAATCCTTTGGTTTCTTTGCCTCCATTTCACGTATATTGTTTCCAAGATAAATTTATACCGCGTTCGCAAAACACAAATTTTCTGGCCAAAAAGTCATATTCGTGCATCTGCAAAGCGGATAACCTTATCAAGCGTTTGGTTTTTTTCTTCCATGAAATAGCCTGAAATCAGCTCCCCCTCGCTGTGGTTCCAAGCGTCTCTTCACCAGAGTCCCAACGCAGAGCTCAAGTAGAGCTTTTCTGCCTTTGCTCTGGGCCAGCAGCCTGGCTCTAGCTGTCCAGAGTTACTAGTTAATAGGTAGGTGGTCTCGCTGCCAAGAGAGCGCCTCTTTCCTGACCGGAGCTTGCGTCTTTCTAACTCCCGAGCGCGCGCACGAACCTGGCGACTTTTCGCTCCCAGGCCCGGGACGGCACTGCCTGGGTGGCCGCTCTTCAGACAGCTGCTCCGTGTCCATCCAAAGAGATGTCCCCCCCCCCCCCATTCAGCAGTAACCGGACGAAGTCCCCACGGACTCCTGGGGCCCGGTTTCCGCCCATCCCCTGTGTGGGAAGCAGGCTTTCCCCGGAGGAAACCCCAGGAATCTAGTTCAGAGAAATTCTCTAGGCGCCCACCGCGACCAGGAGACGGTGGTTTTCCTGCGGTAGACACGCCCACGGCTGCCCCGGGGGCTGCAGGGGGTCGGCGAGCGCGTCCCTCCAGGGTTCAAACGTGCGCGGGGTAACAAATAGCAGGTATGTTACTGGGAAGAGAGCGCTTTTTAAGTCACGCCGTGGTTACCTTCCCGGGGGCGGGGCAGGGCAGGGAGCCCAGCGCGGAGAGGCCAAATTCTCGGAGCCAGCTAGTCCTGGGAGTCAGACGAGCCGGGGAGCGGGCTGGTTAACTGCAGAGCGAGAAATCGGGCTGGAGCCGATGGGGTCGCTCTCCTAGTTCAGGCGCCCGGAGCGTGAGCGCCGGTTTTACCGAATCCACCACCTCTGTTGAAGTCAAATGCAGAGTTACGGTGGCTATTGGGGGGAGGGCGGGGAGGGGGGAGGCTTGAGGAACCGGCGGTAAGCCCAGAAAAGGCATAGCACGTATAGTTCCTCAAGTTTTTGTCAGAGAAGAGCGGGAAAGCGCCCCCATCCCGCCGGTTGAGCGGAGGAATCGGCTTGTCTCCCAGCCCCACCCCTGCAGCAGTGATGCAAAGAGAACAAATCACCGACAGAGAAAGGAGAGGAAAAAAAAGAAAGAAAGAAAGAACCCCCTGGGGGTAGTGGGAGGAGAGAGCGGACAGAGTAGGCACCGGGCAGTCTCCAACCACTGGGACCAGAGCGAGCGCTTTCCAGGGAAACAAACTCCGCATAAATAACTGAGTTTGGAGTGCAGTGCTCTCAGAGGCTCGGGGCGCACCTCCCCAGCGTCTTTCGAGCTGAAAAAGAGCCGAGCCGGGAAAGAGGGCGGCAGCGGGAGCGAGAGCAGCTCGGGTGGCGGTGGGACGCAGTACCTGCAGACTCCCGCAAGAGGGACGCGGGGCGCAGCGAGAGGGGCGCAGCGCGCGGAGCCCAGCGAGCGGGTCCCAGCGCGCGCGGAGGAGAGCGCGCGACGGGAAAGCAGCCCTCGCCAGCGGAGGCGGGAAGACAGCTGGCCTCCGTGGAGGCCGCAGAGGCGCTGCATGGACGGCATGCGTTCCTCCGGAGCCCCCGCCGCGGGGCCCGCGGACAACTCCAGCCAGGGCTGGCCCCTGTCAGCCGGTGGTGTCAACGGCAGCGGGGAAGCGGAGGCGCTCGGGGAAGGCGGCAGCCCCCAGGCGGACGCGCGCAACGAGGAGCTGGCCAAGCTGGAGATCGCCGTGCTGGCTGTGACTTTCGTGGTAGCCGTGCTGGGTAACAGCAGTGTGTTGGTGGCGCTGCACCGCACGCCTCGCAAGACGTCCCGCATGCACCTCTTCATCCGCCACCTCAGTCTGGCCGACCTGGCCGTCGCTTTCTTCCAGATGCTGCCGCAGATGTGCTGGGACATCACCTACCGTTTCCGCGGGCCCGACGGGCTGTGCCGCGTAGTGAAGCATCTGCAGGTGTTCGGCATGTTCGTGTCGCCCTACATGCTGGTGGTCATGACCGCCGACCGTTACATTGCGGTGTGCCACCCTCTGAAGACGCTGCAGCAGCCGACGCGCCGTTCGCGCCTCATGATCGCTGCTGCCTGGGTGCTGAGCTTCGTGCTGAGCACACCGCAGTACTTCGTCTTCTCCATGGTCGAAGTGAACAACGTCACTAAGGCCAAGGACTGCTGGGCCACCTTCATCCAGCCCTGGGGTCCCCGCGCCTATGTGACCTGGATGACGGGTGGTATCTTCGTGGCGCCCGTGGTCATCCTGGGTACCTGCTATGGCTTCATCTGCTACCACATTTGGAGCAACGTCCGCGGAAAGGCGGCTTTGATCCCCGGAAAGGGCGCCGAGGGCGCGAGTGGCGCTTTGCATAAGGGGTTCCTGCTCACACCGTGTATCAGCAGCGTGAAGACTATTTCCCGCGCCAAGATCCGCACAGTGAAGATGACTTTTGTGATCGTGACAGTTTACATCGTTTGCTGGGCTCCCTTCTTCATCCTCCAGATGTGGTCTGTCTGGGATGAGAAGTTTGTTTGGATCGGTAGGTGTCAGGAGAAAGGAGGAAAGTGCAGGAATTCGGCTATGTGTGTGGTGGGGGTTGTGTGTATGTGTGGCGGGGTACATTTCATAATATCCTCTGGGGCAGTAGTTGTTAAACTTCTGCGTGCCTAGCTTTGGGTGAAATTACCAAAACGGCAGGTTTCTGGGGGTCTCCACCCCCCGACATTTTAATTCAGTAGCTCTAGAGTGGGGCCCAGGAATGTGCATTTGTAGCCTGCAGTGATCCTACGACAAATCCAGAAACTGTGCCCTAGAGTTAACCACGCAACTACAAAACGTGATAATGACTTTTTGCCAGATCACTAACCACTGCACTAATACCCTGCCTTTAAGTCTATTGGACTCACAGAAATATTTCTACTGTAACCACTGCTTTTTACTAGTTTGTGAAAAGTATCACAATTAATACAAAAATTTTGTAGAAATGCCCCAAGGGCAAAGATAAACTGATGTGTTTTTTCCTGAAGATTCTTAGAAGTCAATAATTCTAATTAGCATTTAGTGTTCCATTTCTTATCATCTTTTAATTTTTTTCTAAAAATTACTCTAACACCTTTTTTTTGGTATTTTAAGGCAAGGTTGTTGATAAACTCTAAATTTTTTAAACTAATTAATTCGTCTTTCAGCATTAACTTAACCACACAGCTGTATGCCTCCCCCACAGAACCCTTGCAAAGGTTTATGGAGGATATTCTCTACACCTACTAGTTTGATTCTAATTCTTCCACAAACTAAGGAAACTAACTTCAAAAGAACCCCACCCCACTCCAAAAAAACACATTAGTTAATATTGGTTCTTGAAAAAAGTCATTTCCTTTTAGTGAGTAAAAAAAACAACTTTTCAAATAAAATATATTACAGGAATGTTACCAACATCAGCTATAGTTGGGACATAGGTATCTGGGAAGAACTATCTCCTTTTGTTATTTGAGATTGTGGTAGGGAGTCTATGTGATTTGGTTTGGAAGTTACATATGCAGATAAAATATTTACGAGTGAATTTAATTCAAACAAGTAAAAATACCTGCATGGCTATCATATCACTGATAATAAATAATACAATGTAAATGCTATATTTCTGGTTTACCATTTCCGGTCTTGCTTGATCTCAGCAGCCTCTTAATTATTGCCAAATAACAAATTCAGTCTAATTATTGCTAAATTATTTCAGAATTTAGACATACTTTCTAAAAACTTCTCTACCTGTGCATAAGTATGCTGATGATTTTCATTCTTTTTGAATACAGTCTTTAACCATGGATCATGATCACCTTTAGGAGTAGAATCTTAGCACAAAGTATGATTAAATAACCTGTAATTTATTTCAGCATAACAACAGTGAAAAGACCCACGTTTATAGTTAATAATCAAGAAAAAGTTAGTGCTTCCTGATTATTCTTAACTTTCGAAAAGGTATGTTATCAGTGTCATAGTTCTGTGAAAGATCATAATATTTATGTCGTATACCAGTGCAAATTAGCATAAAATATTTCAAAAACTTGTTGGAATTTCCTAATTCAGCTGTTCTTAATATAATTTAATTGTCCAAACTACAAAGATGGTTTTCTTTTAAAATCAAAGAAACTATAGAAAGTTAACAACATCAACAACAAAACCCACAGGAAATAACTCCAGAAACAACCAAATAATGCATCCTTCAGGGACCGATTACTACTGTTCCCTTATGTATAGTTTTCTTACTACAAAATGTGTTTAATACTTAAAAATTTAGAACTACTTAACATTGTCCATATGCCATACTTTTGCCTTAGTTGTTAAGATGAATCCAATTTTATATATGTGGCTATAGACTTCAAATTTCATTAAAATTGCAGCCATTCTATAAGTGCTGTGTCTGTTAGCACATACTAATGCTAGTATAAAGAATACAAAATTTTTTAAAAATAAATTATTTCACATTCTTAACTTCTTAAAAGTCCCACTCATTCTACTGAGATATTTTTAAGTGGTTTAAGATATTTGAATGAACGTCAGTGCATTTTGCTTATGAAAATATTTCAACACCAAGCAGTTTCCAGACACCAGCCATTTCCCTAATTAATAAACAACATACTTCATTTTCTATATTAACCCATAACTTTTCCTTACTTTTAAGAATCAGTAGAAAAATGAGTTTACCCAGTGCTCAGTGACTTTGACTATTTAAATAATCTCCCCTTATATTTTTTGTACAGAATCAGAAAACCCAGCCATCACCATCACTGCATTACTGGCTTCCTTGAATAGCTGCTGTAATCCCTGGATATACATGTTTTTTAGCGGCCATCTCCTGCAAGACTGTGTCCACAGCTTCCCATGCTGCCAAAACATGAAGCAAACATTCAACAAAGAAGATTCTGACAGTATGAGCAGAAGACAGACTTCTTATACTAACAACCGGAGCCCGACAAACAGTATGGGTACATGGAAGGACTCGCCTAAATCTTCCAAGTCTGCCAAATTCATTCCAGTTTCAACCTGAGCCCACATTCATGCAGCCTGACTCTTGTAGCGGACTTTAGGTCCACTGGCTGAATCCAGATAGAAATCATGAGAACAAATGAACTTTTAAGATATAAGTGTCAATAAGTTTGTTGAGTACAAGACTGTTTCTAGTTGCATTTTCTCATTGCTATGACCAGAAGTTATGAACTCTTTTATATGGGACGTTAATGAAAAATTAAAATTTTCAAAAATAAAAAAATGCTACACTAAAATTCACAGGCCTAATTTTCATAAATATAATAGAAGTTATAGTTCTAAAGGAAAAAACAAAACCACCCTTGCTTTACATTCTGTTGTTGGTTTCCTTTCATTTCTTTTCTTTTTATTATGGACAGAACTATGGCTTGACTGGTTTAGAAGTCATACGTGTAGGGGCATTATTTCTAAACAAAGTGAGCTCATCATAGGCCTTAGTGTTTGAAAGGAATTAGAAGAACCTTCAGAGACATTTTTTCCATCCAATAAAAATCAGTTTATGCATCAGAAAACGCAGCCCCAGGCGCACCTGCAGGGCTCAGTTGATTAAGCATCTGACTTCGGTTCAGGTCATAATCTTGCAGTTCGAGAGTTCGAACCCCACGTCCTGCTCTGTACTGACAGCTCAGAGCCTGGAGCCTGCTTCAGATTCTATGTCTCCCTTTCTCTCTGCCCCTCCTCTACATTCTCTCTTTGTCTCTCTTTCAAAAATAAACATCAAAAAAAAGCAAAGCAAAGAAAAGAAAAGAAAAATACAGCCTCAAACAGTGGCCTGGAGATGGGTTGGTGCCTTGGACAGGCATGAGTGCTTGGGGCACATGGAGCAGGGGTGCTTGGTTCAGAGCAGAAAGAGAAAAGTTCTTTTAAATGCTAAATTTCAAAATGGTACTTTAGGACTGGCAGTTCCCTCCTTGTTTTAGGCTCCTCGTGTTTTACCTGTTGTGGAAAGTATACTTTATTAAGAAGATGCTGAAGGTTAGAGCAAATATTGTCAAATGTCTAATAAAATCTTTTACCTCCCACTGCGAGGCCATTTTAAATTCAAATTTGTATAAAGAATATCCAGTTTCATTAGAAGAGTAGAAATGGATACTGTGAGGCCATTTTAAATTCAAATTTGTATAAAGAATATCCAGTTTCATTAGAAGAGTAGAAATGATTGCCCAAGGTACTATGTAGGCTTTTTCTAGAACACTGTAAATATATTTTGACCAGTGTTAAAAGGTATCCTGTGCTGTGGTGGATATTAACATGATTATTACTTCATGTCTGGGGTGTCCAGATTTATAAATAAGAGTCTCCTGCGGAGGCTGGGTGGCTCAGTCGGTTAAGCATCCAACTTCGGCTCAGGTCATAATCTCACGGTCCGTGGGTTTGAGCCCAGTGTTGGGCTCTGTGCTGACAGCTCAGAGCCTGGAGTCTGCTTTGGATTCTTTGTCTCCATTTCTCTCTACACCTCCCACACTCTCTGTCTCTCTCAAACATAAACATTAAAATTTTTTTTTTAATTTATAAATAAGAGTCCTCAAGAGTAACTCAAGATATAGAATGTCCCTTCTTGTTTAATTAAAAATTATTTGGTCTTTCCTTCCAGTCTTCCAATCAACTCACAGTTACATATAGTAGAGAGGCACGGTTGGGTGGAATGAGGGTAGAGATGGGGGAAAAAATTTGCTCTACACCTAGTATAGTTTCCTTTGTTATTAAATGCATGACTTTGGCAAATTGCTTAAGCACACATAAAACCTTCTATCTCCTTGGCTGTACCGTGAGGTTGATAACATCTCACAGGGTTGTTGTGAGGACAAAATTAACTCAAAGGTGTGAAAAGATCTTCCTGAACTGTCAAGTGCCAGTTGCTTTTACTATAGTCTTAGGGTCTTCAGAATCAAACAGCTTTTTCCTGTTTACTTTCCATTAAGCAGAATTTATTGGTTTCATGTCTGGGATATAAAATCCTAGAATTTAAATATAGCTCTGCTGAATCATTGGAAAGCATTGCCGGCAGCCACTAAGCCTGACTCCTGCCTAACCAAAGTTTTCCAATTCAAAGATAAAACTTGCTTGCCTTTAAATGCACATAAATCATGGTGCACCTGGGTGGCTCAGTCTGTTAAGCATCAGACTTTGGCTCAGGTCATGATCTCATGGTTTATGAATTTGAGCCTTGCATTGGTGTTCTGTGCTGAGAGCCTGGAGCCTACTTTGGATTCTGTGTCTCCTTCTCTCTCTCTCTCTCTCTGCCCCTGCCCTGCTTGCACTCTGTCTCTCTCTGTCTCTCTCTCTCTTTCAAAAATAAACATTAAAAAAATATGAAATAAATAAGTGCGGGTAAATGAAAGACTGCCAAGAGCATCAATTTATTTTCTTTCTAAACAGAGATAAATTACAGCACTACCTGACTGCTGTTACTGCATTTTTCATTAATGGAACCCAGTGTTTTTTTTCCAAGCTATTTTGTCTGGCTCCTTCTCCTTTTGAGAGATCATGCAATGATTTGAGAATATATCATAAATATTTTTCACCCCTAAGAGGAATTAATAGCTATTTTAATAGCATTATTGTTGGTTTTTTAATTTAATTTAATTTAATTTTTATTTTTTTAAACTCTGTAGATAAGAAACTGAGGACTAGATGGCACTGTGAGAATCTGTAAGCTTCAAGTTCACTCCTCTTCATTCTCTTGCCTTTCCAAATTCTCAGGCCTGCTATTCTCTGGATTGATATGCCTGCAAAAAACTTTATAGAACTTTTTATGTTTTATAGAAATGAAGCCCTTGGGTTTTAGAATTCTGCTTTTTAAAAATCAGAAATATGTCTCTTTAAAGGGCATTGGATGGCACAATATGAGCCAACAATTAAATTAATCAATTTCACATCATTTGAGTCATAATAGCATCTCAGTATCCCTGTTCCCCGTGAGGCTGTCAGCTCCTGTGACAACTTCTCTTCGACAATTCAAAACTAATGCCCTTTGGGTTGGTACAAAGATGAGTCCATCCAATTCCAAAATAATAGCCTCATGGTTTTTGTACAGATTGTTTCAAAATGTGTGTACCTCCAGGTAAAACAATTTGGGTCGAATCTTCTATCTAGGAGCATCTCCCAAATAAGTTGTATATGAACCTATCCAGCTGTGTTCTCTCATTAAAAAAAATTTTTTTTAATGTTTATTTTTGAGAGAGAAAGAGACAGACAGACAGAATGTGAGTGGGGGGAGGGGTATAGAGAGAGGGAGACACAGATTCTGAAGCAGGCTCCAGGCTTTGAGTTGTCAGCATGAGCCCGATATGGGGCTCGAACCCACAACTGTGAGATCATGACCTGAGTTGAAGTTGGACGGCTTAACTGACTGAGCCACCCAGGCACCCCTATTCTCTCATTTTAAATGCATCAGGAGACAAGATAATACAAAAGGATAGGGGAAACAGTAGATGATCATGAGCGCTACTTCTGTACTAGGCAAATATATGGTATTATTCTCTGTGATTTAGGCTGAGAAGCTTAACTAGTTGGTAAACTTCCTTAATGTTATGTACCCAATGTTATGTACCATAGGCATATGACCCAAAACAATACTCCAAATTGGAAAAGTCCTTCCTGTCTATTTTAGAAGAAAAGATGGGGCTCCTGGGTGACTCAGTCTGTTAAGAGTCTGACTTTGGCTAAAGTCGTGATCTCACAATCCAGGAGTTTGAGTTCCTCATCAGGCTCAGTACTGACAGCTCAAAGCCTGGAGTCTGCTTCAAATTTTGTGTCTCCCTCTCTCTCTGCCCCTCCCCTGTTCATGCTCTCTGTGTGTCTCTCTCTCAAAAATAAATAAACAGTTTAAAAAAAAAAAAAGAAGAAGAAAGGAAACTGTAGGCGGTAAAGAAGAAGAGTATGCTAGGACCTTCTCTTGGCTGAGAAGACCTGAGATATTATGCCAAGTGAAGGCTTGCAATCAAAGATAAATGTGTAACATCACCTTATTTTATTTTGCATAGTTATCTGTGGGAACATCGTGTTAGTATACAATTTTAATGTATCTGTGTGGGTACAGGGAATGTAATTAATAAAGCATCCACTGGTACAGAGAAACTGGTGATGGCATTTGATGAACATTAATTGTTGATGAAAAAGAAACATTTTACTTTTTTGTGAGGGAGAGGGGCCAATGGAGAGGGAGAGGGAGAGAAAGAGAGACAGACAGACAGACAGAGAGGATCCTAAGCAGGTTCCATGCTCAGTGTAGATCCCAAAGTGGGGTTTGATCCCAAAACCCTGGGATCACGACCTGAGCCGAAATCAAAAGCTGGGTGCTCAAATGACTGAGCCAGCCAGGCGTCCTGAATAAGGAACATTGTAGAGTGTGCATTAAGTAATTAATAGGTTAATTTGGGACAGTATTTTTAAAGTGTAAAAATAACTGTGAAGGAAATTAGTGAAATTCTTCAGTTACTTATACATTCGCCCTACACACAGAACTTCCATCATCATCCAAGTAGTCTTACACCATAAATGAGGGAATGATGTTGTTTTTAAAGGAAAAAAACGTCAAGTAAACTTAATAACATTCAATACCCTCCTAAACTTATTATAGTTCCTAGAATGGAAATCAAACATAACTTTAATCTATTATTACACAAGGAAAGTAATCCAATTAGGTTAAAGATTAAAGTTTTTTAAACTCTAAGACCCATATTATTATTGTAATGCAATTGGTACGCCAAGCCTTAAATTATAGTTTAGGGTTTGACTCTACCACTAAGGCATGATTAGAACCATCTAGGGAGATTGAGCCTAATCCTTCATCTCAAATATCAGAGATTCTGCTCCTTTAAAACCCAGGTAAACTGGACCCTTAAAGGATTTTCATACTGGAGGCAATAGCTGTATTTAGAGTAAGCCCAGGGCAGAGTCATCTGGCAGGTGCAGAAACAGCCGCTGTATCTACCTCCCTGTGGCCCTTTTAGTACCATTCAGTGCCAATGCCAACACTTGGAATCATGAGTAACACAGAACAATAAATATTAGAGAATGAATTTGTAAGAATGTTTTTCAACACAGGGCTTGAACTCACAATCCTGAGATCAAGACAGACTAAATAGGTTGAATCACTCAAATTGCATGATTCCACCACACATATAGGCATTTTAAGATTATTATTCTAACTCAATTTTTAAGTGCATTAAATTATCA